CTTCCAGCAGCTATGTGATACCTTGGTGGTTTTGGGGGTTTCTTTGGTTTGGTTTTGGGTTGTGTTTGTTGTTTTTTTTCCTATGATCAGCTCTCTTTTATCCTGTACTCACAGCAGATATAACCAGCTTCAATGCTCAGAGCTGATGAAAAATGTACCAGGCAAGGCCTGATCTGGGAAGCAGATGTGCTGACAGAACCCCAATTTCTGATGGGGGTTCTGTCATACTGAATCATCATCCCTGAAACTGAATGAACAGGCTCCTGCCTGTGGCAGGCAGGGTGATTGTGACTGTGGAAATTCCTATAGGTGACAGGGCAAATGATCAAAAGTTCAGTAGACAATTGCTACACCCTGCACCTTCATTGGTGGAGCAGTTCTAAATGTTACAGTGATGACAACTTACCGCTGCCCACCAAAGAAAGATGCAGGGCGAGAACAGTCTCAACTCGCACTTAGACCTCACAATTACTAGACCTGATGGGACAATTAAGCAAACACATCACTACCTTACTTTTTCCTCACCAGATGACGGTCTTTCATTTCTGAGCGTTCAAACAAAACATGCTGAGTGGTTTGCATGCAAGTTTTTTGAATAAGTCCCAGAAGCCCTCCATGTGCCTGGCCAACCTGCAAGCCCAAAAGAAACTGGTTACTATGCAAACACACACACAACTTAAATGATAAAATTGTGAACACTGATGCATCAGTTTCTAAGCTCATTCACAAATTATGTCAATCTTGGTCAAAAGTGTGCACACACCTGGCTGAGTCTACTATTTTGCTGTCCTGAATGCTATCAAATCCCTCTCTTTCTCCCAGAAAGTTTATCCTCTTACCCAATGCTACATCTATGGGCATCTCAACATTACCAATATTTTATTGACTCTCTTGTTCATACCAAGGAATAGCATCCATCACTGGCCAGGATGAGAACATCTAATGGAGACGTGTGGTTGGCTACACAGATGCCTCCTTCCTGCGGTCTGTTTTCCCTGCAGTGACAATTGTAAAAGTAATTACTTAATGTTTATTCTCCAGACTATAGGCCCCATCAGGTGACCCATCCAGTGAGCATACATCCACAATTGAGACTCTCAGTGACAAAAGCATTTCTGGCATACAGCTCATTTGCAGAGCCACAGAAAATAGAACACGAAACATTTTAATATCCATATTACTGCTTATTAAAACATCTGACAGTACATTACAGCAGATAAGTCATCTTTCCTCATACTTTCAAGAGCCCCTTCACTTTTCAGTAGTTTTGACACTTCACCAAAACCAGTTTCCTTTTAGCTGAGAATACAATACTTCAAGTAGGCATTTTAGCTGCTCCATTCATAAGGCAGATGTAAAAGACTACTTGGACGCTAAAACTCTAAAAGCAAAGACACTAGAGCATGACTTTGCTTGTTTTCTAAAGCACAAACAAAAAAAAAATCTCAGAAGCCTCTACATAAATCTCTACCACTAAGCAAGCAAGATATTACAAAAACTTACTGAAATACCATCCATAACTTTAGGAGAGATTGCGAAGAATTAGTTACCATATAAATCAGTTAATAGAACAGTCAAACATTTTATGGTAATGTTCTTGCATGTGATAACACATTCATGGCAAAGATTGAGAAAAATATGTTTAATTGAGATCACAGTACTACTCCACCCTTGCATACCCTGCCAATACACAACAGAAAACACAGAAGGGCATGTAAACATCTTGACAGAGTCTAGATCATCTAAACGGCTTCTTGGATCAAATTGCACCATCACAGTATCCATGCAGTAATGGAATAAGAATCCCACTCTGAAACTTGAGGCATTGAATACCATAATAAATCGATCCCAAACCACTGAGAGCAGAGCGGCACCACTCACCTGTTGTGGAAATGAATGAGACCACCCAGACATCGGACACCTAATGTGGCACATATCATCTGAACCTGGTTGCTCAGCCAGCATTTAACTCTAAAAGAAATGAAGCCATACATACATTTTCAGTTCTATGCAGTCACTCATAAAACAATATTATATAAGTTCTCCAAATTATTCCCAACTTCTGTTATTACAGAGACCATACTAAGAAGATTCAGTTGCACTAACAATGCCACCCGGGAGCAGCTTAGTGGATATCAAAGATATTCTTGGTCCATTCTTCTACTGTAATTTATTCTAAACCTACCAGATTCAAAGCAGAGAAGATAACAGTCAGGGGTTTTATACATTTTCTCTGGAAGCAACTGCTATTGACTCATTCATTAACATTAAATATAAAGATATTTAGCTGGTGAATCACATTTGAGTTTTTTTTGCACTGACAGGATGTAAATATCTCACAGTATTAATATGGAATTGCTCAGGGTAGATGATTTACTTGCCCTATTCCGACTCAAGTAGAGCATACTCTTTATTTTCCACTCTAAAACATGCTTCCATCAGTATCTATCTGGCTTACGTCGCATGCCCACTTTCAGATGTCATTGCCATACTCTCTCTTTCATAGTGCTCTATAAGTTTACAATAGAGAAGAAAAATCACCTCATGATAGTCCACATTAATCCTCCAGACTCAGGCAGATTAATATTCCAACACACTAATTCAAATACTTAAAGAAATAAAAAGAGCTGTCAGCAAACACCAACCTGCCATTTGGAAACTGTCCTACTACTGTAGTGGCCAAGACCAGCAAGAGGATACTGAAAACAGCCAAGCAGATGCTACAAAGTAAAAAAAGTCTTATTTAAATACTAAGAAGCAGAACTGGAAGAGCAACCAAGAAAAAAATCTTTTCTTTAACCCTTTGATCCATTTCACAATGCTTCCGTCCACCATTAACAGCACCTAACTAGCAATACAAACCAGCTAAGGCCAACAGGACAATATGAACACGTTTTCAACTCAGCCCTGCACCAAGTACAAAGTCTTGTGCTGCTTGGAGCCTATCTTCCAAAAAAGGACCGTCCCCAGATCTGAAGCTATCACGTGGTAAAGAAGTCATCATGTTCAAAGAGGACGGTGAGTAGTGGCTAGTGTTCTTTAATGCAGGTGAGATTCCTCAGTGCCAAAAGGGACCCATCATTTCATTTTTTAAAAGCCTGTCCAGAAGTTTCAGTTTGTATTTCTACCCCAAGTAGTAAGCTACTATATAATAATGAAAATTAAAAGTCATTGGTTACTAATGGCTAACCAATATTGAAGCCATTTCTAAAAAAATGTTGTCTTTTTAAGCTGCATATGTAAGTTTACACACAGGCATATGTGCTCTGCTATGTCATTGACTGGTATGAAATCTCTCTATGCACTACAACTATGTTTTGAATATACTGTCCTCCATCAAAGGAATAAGAAATTTTAAAAGCTCCCGCTCTTTACAAGAACACATGAATATTTGTAACTGTTTGGTCAATATGATAAAAGGCTGGTTTTGCTTAAAAGAAAAGCTTAAAAGTCTGAAAATTTAATACATTCCAAGTGGATATCACTCTCCCATCCAGCTCTGTGCTTCCAAGAACATTGGCTCTGCTTCAAATCCCACGTGTTCAGTGTACAGTGTCCTTGTCTCTTATTCTGACAGGTAGAGCCTGATCCTTTCTGTTGAAACAGTTGTTACTTTACATAACAAAGATCTCCAGATCTTTTCTGTAAAGTTTTGCTGCATTTTAAAAACAAACTAATTACTAATAAAACATATGAAACATGAGAAACATACATTTTCAGCAACTTTTTTTCATTTGGGGATAACTGAGTTTCAATGGCATCTTGGAAGACAAAGTCATGCCAGGTTCTCCTTTCTGCACTAGCCAATAAAATGTTATTTCACATCTTTTGTAAAAAGTAATATGAAAAACCAATCCCAGCAAGTTACATCTGGCTCACCGAAAAGGCATCAGGAGACAATAGCGAATTAGGATCCCCATGACCCACACAACGCTCAGCTGCCAGCTGACATGGTGCAAGCTGGCATTGGTTCTGCTGAGGAGGTTCCAGGACACCAGCTCCTCAGAGGAGAACCGTTGTGTGACTTCATCTTCTGCAACTGCCTCACACCCCTTCTTGGAGAAGTACATAACATCAGCAAGGCTGAAGCATCCTTGGTGCTGGTCAGCAATCTCCTCTTCCATGGAAGTTTCCTCTCTCTGGATTATCCCTGCATGAGGAAATGATTCCTTCCACACAGTGGAATGGACAATATGGATTCCAAAGAGAGTAAAATACACATATTTTTTCGAAATAGCTCTCCTACTCAGAGCACCATACTTGTATTATGTCTCATTTACGTACTGGCATTTAGTTCCGTAAGTTACTTCTCTAATCCTATACCATATAAAACCACTAAATTGAAGAAAGGAGAAAATCATTCAGAACAAGCTGCAAATAAAGCCTTGAGCACAACAACTTACTTCATTGCCATCCACCAAACAACATATGTACACACACCTAGAAATGTCAACAGTGCACTGCCAAGTTTGCAAACCTTCTGGTGCCTTCACTCAAATTCCGGCAGTGTTTGTATAGGTATATCACTTTCCTCTGGTATTTTTTCCTCAGAGCCTTCTCTCTTCCCCCATCCCTTCTACTTTAAGAGTCACTTCACTACCAAGAAACTTCAAAGTGTCTACATTTTTCCCCTGAGATATACACAGTGTAACACAGAAGCATTGTGCAGGAACAATGATAACATATTCATGCTCCATATCTGTAAAATTACACCTCATAGGACGGCCACACAGCCAGTCTCAGTGATGTTTGCTGAGGTCACTCAGACTAGATTCTTATCTGGCTGGTTGCAGTGACTAAAGTTGTATTGATTCATACTAGTTAAGACTTGCTTTTTTGCTTGGCTTTTGGGGAGGGGGAGCAGGTATTGGATGACATTAAATATGCATTATTCAAACTAATTTATCTTAATCAAAACACAACCCCCTGATCTGAATCACAAAACTTTTCTCCAGCTGCACTTCACTAAAACCTTCAACGTCCAGGAAATCATCAGACCTGAAATTCATTAGCTGACAAACCAGTCTACATGACTAATGACTAAAAATAGCACTACAAGTAAAATAATTATTAAGAGAACTTAACCCAGTCCCCTTCAGTCAAAGAAAAAAGAAAAAAATAGTTGGGGAGAAGAAAAAAAATTACTCTCTCACATTTTATCCCCATGCCTGGAGAAGAGTGCAAATTGTGGGATGGTGTAGCTGCTTTACTTGAGACACCCTGACTTTCCGTGTGCTAGGAGTTACAAGAAGCAAGAGAGGATCCATACAGAGCAATGTCAAGGGCAAAGAATACAATTCCTCCTAATCTTGTGAAGAGAGAGCTGATGGAGTCAGAAAGTACAAAATACTCATGAAAATGGGGACAGCTTCCCAAATGCTTATCAACAATGTCTGTCTACTCACACTAGTCTCTAACACCTTTTATTCAGAAGACTCAATCATTCACAGATTATCTTACTTATACCATACTTAAGGTCTCTTTTGTAGGTTTGTAACTTCAGCAGTTATTTGCCCAAAATCCATTTTTGTCATTCCAATTTTCTTACTTAACATCAGATGCAATTTATGTTTCTGTTTACTCTTTTCTAGATGAGATACTAAAATAGTTGCCTTTTTACAAGACAAATAGTGCTGTGTCACCTTCATTCAGAGAACTTACCAGTGGAGATTAAATTTTCAAGTGTCACCGCCTTGTGCTTTTTTACTCCCTCTTCAATCTGCAGGGTGGCCCACTGTTCCCAAAACAAGAAAAGTAGATGTTGATGGTTTTCATTTGGTCATTTCCAGGCATTCTGTTATCATCTTAGGTGAACTATATGAGCCTCTTTTATTGAAGCCAGGTCTTAGATTTTCATTTTCAAGTTCAGCCTGAAGGCTGCCCTGCATGCCTCCTGTTTAATTTGTTACATAGACTACCTTTTGCCATTGTCAGGAAAAATGGTTTGGCTCAAACTTCTTTTCAGGACACAGGCAGTTGTGTTTTACCTGGGGCTTTTTGTTGCTTTGGTTTTGGTATTTTTCCAACAAACAAAAAAAACCTAAAGCCCCCACAAATTACTGAGCTACCCAAGAGACTCTATGAGGTCCATAGGTCCAAAACTCTCTCTTCCTCAGCTTCAGGCAACAGAACGATACAAAATATTATCACTAACATTAGAGACGTGCTGTAAAAAGTAGATCTAAAAATGGATTTTGAAGAATAATAGAGATTACCTCAGCTTTAGGGCATGCAGTTTTTGTTAAAAGATGACAGAGGAGGGACCATTTCATATCCATAATATTTTTGGAAATAGTAGTTTTGGTAATGAGCTTTCACCCTTACCTGTCTACCTTTTTGAGCTAAACCAAGTTTCTCCTCCCTGTGCAGAGCAGCATAAAACTCCTTTATTAGCAAAATCAAATATACCAATATGCCTAATGTTTGACATTTTCATGGTTTTTAATGTTTTCATCATACACATATAAATAGTAACTCTTGTGAGGACTAGATCTTCCCATATTTACATCAAGGTATCTGCCCTAACAAGGGACACAGGATGCTTGTGTGTAGGCTCTGCTCATTATTAAGGAATCGATGACCCACTTAACTCATGTCCTCACCAGCTATTAAGGCTTCCCACCTACAACAGATGATGATACATCCTTCTGCTTCACAATAAACTCTTCCTAAACAGTTTATTTCCCTCTCACTGACACGTGCAGCCACTTAAGTCACCACAAAGCTTGATCTCAAATAGTCGTCACCACATTACAATGTGTTACATGTGCCAACAACGTCAACTAGGTTTTTGCCATACTTAAGTTTTGTGTGTTCTCTACCAGCTCCTTCTGTAGCTATTGGAAGTGTAAGTCTATAACAAAAAGGGACAATTTGTCACAGCATAACGAGGATAATATAGTTATCCTTAGAGGGGAAGGGGGAAAATAGAATAGGCAGTGATGTGATATTTTAAACTCCATGCAAACCATCTGTTATAACACCATAAAAAAATACCAATCTTCACCTTGTCTATACTTTCCAGTTATTCCCTAAGGAACATACATTGGTACATCATCTGTCTCAATCTTTTGCAATACATGGAGAATCATTCAGAAGTGGGGAGACAAGAGATGTCACGAAAACAGCAGCCCACACACGGAGAAATGAAAGAGTATACGGCACAGGAACAAGAACATTGCAAAAGAGAGCAAAGGCAGACATGTGGCAAACTTAACCTCTTTATAACATACTGCTTGTCACCCCTTTCCCAATATTCTTTAGGATAGTTCTATGATGTGAGGGAGGAAAAAAATAAAGATCACCTAGCTTAGCAAATAAAGCCTTTACTCTCTGCTTTCCTGTCTACTACCCTTATCTTGCCTATCACAGTCCTCCCACATGAACAGGCACCTGTCTGTTGGCAAGCACTGCCAGAAATGAGCTTGCTCATACTGTCTTGAAGGATTTGGAATACCTCAAGGAGGCTGGCTTTTGAATCCCAGGTAGAAAAAAGGTGATCATCACTGACCAAGCTGACTCACAAAAATATGTTAACTAATTTAAATGAGCAAGGCAAGTAAAAAACCCAACAAAAATTTATAAAGTTGGCTAGTAAAGTATAAAGTCTTGCCAGACTATTACCTAGTGCCTCATCACACAGAGAAACAGTGGGACAAAAGTGGCAGCTTGTAACTAGTCAGCTAAGGCTACAAATACAGAGGACAAGGCAGATGAGTAAGAGCTTTCAACAGGTGAATGGTTACACAGGGCTTGTTAGCTTGGCAAAGAGTCAAATGAGACAGTATATGACAGAGGTCTACAAACTCTGGACTGGCACAGAGCACGAGGAATTATCCATTTTCCCTTCTAATACAAGTACTGGGAAGCATCATATGAAAGTGTTGGGCAGGACATATAAGCAAGTAAAACATATTTCCACAAAACACAGTTAAATTGTGGAGTTCATTGTCCAGGACATATTGCCAGAGATCAACTGAAATGGCAGCAGTTACATAAAAACATGGATGAAAATCATCAAGGGACACAAAACTCTCCTAACTCGTGAATCAGCATGCGAGGCTGAAGCAACAAGCAGCTGGGGGTGGGGGGGGAGGTATTCCTGGCAATACAGCTGTACAATCAACCAGCTCTTAGGCTTTTCATCAAGCAATTAAGTTGATGCCTGTCAAAGCTAGGCTATCTGTCTGGGTCAAACTCTGGACTGACCCAGCAGAGTAGTTTATATGTTCTTCTGCATTAAGTGACATCTGTATGTTTAATTTGTTTTTATAATATGAAATAAGGCTTTGTGATCACCTTTGTTTTGCGACAAAGTATTGAGACAAAGCTGTCACACTGGTCTTTGTTGCAAAACAGTAATGAAAGGATGTTTTAAATACCTTTCAAAAACACAGATGTTGCAACTAACCCAGAATTTGTTAAATAGAGCAACTTCATTCCTAAGTTCACTGACCAAATGAGAAGCAAGGTGCTGTGCTTCCCTCCCTCAAATTTCTGAAGTGATGAGGACACAAGGAGTCCAAACATCCAGTAGGTGATTCCTGCT